GTCTAAAAGTAAATGAATATAAAGAGAAAGAGAGAGAGAAAAATCTTTTTTATACTGTAAAAAATGCTTGCCTTTCCTTTATAATATATCATACATACTTCTGTATATATACAGGATTATTCATTTTAAATTTATCAAGCAATTGTATTGAAAAGAAAACGCTGAGAGAGTCATAGCCAATTCCTCGGCAAGCAGGATCTTGATTGCTACATTTTTCTATATGAAATAAATTTAAACAATTATATTACCAACCACGTGCTACTATTTTTAGCAGACTTTCAACGTAGCGGTTTTACAATAATTCGACAATCAAATATCTATTTGATATAACTCGAGTTCCTTATTTTAATTATCCCCCCACAGAAAATATATATTGCGAAAAATATTATCCCTCAGCCAGGGATCGAATTTAGATTGTCTGCTTTTTGAGCAGATATCTTATCTATTAGACCACTGAGGTATTTGATAATATTTATCGCAGTATTTAGATAAATAATGAAAAGAAACGTCTTCTTCAGGCTGACGTAAGAATAAACAATACATGAAAAGAAAACATTCTTGAAAAAAAAAATTGATTGCTATTGTTTTGGATTTATAATTTTGAGCATTGAATTGATATGTATTGATATTTATGTCTATCGTCTTTTCTACTTATCATTTCATAATTGATTCTTTGTAGTGTGCAACAATCAATCTCGGGAATAAGACAGTTTAAGATTTTGATATATACATGTGTATATTTAAGATATATAAATTTTATTTTAATAATTCTGAGATAAATCGTCGCATATGAAAAAAATTATATGATTCCAGTTTAAAAAATTGCCTTTCATCATTACTTGTTCCTCTCTAGATCACGATTAACTGTGAAAAGTTTTTTTTAAAAATTCTTTTCGAAATAATCATCTGATAAAATAAAAATGAATCATCTTATATACATATATACAATATATATATTATACAAAAAAAATATATATATATATATTTATTAATTTGTTTGAACGCTTTTCTATATATTATTGTACTTATAGTACTCGTCATGTAAATTAACGTTTACGTCTGCATACTCTTTTATGTTCACGCTGCCAATGAACTTGTTGACAATCTGTACTGCAATATGCGGTATTCCAACAACAATGATATATCGCTTCAGCTTCGCAATTATAACACTACAATAATCAATAAATCAATATTTAATAAAATGTTATGTCAAAGGAGAGATCAGTAAAATAAAAAAAGAATTACCCATTGTTTCTTTTTGATGTCAGATACGATTTGTTGATGTCTATCGGTTAATTGTCGCAACTCTTTGGCGTGCTCCGCCTGTAGTCTTTCTAATTCTCTACATTTTTCAAGCTCTAGTTCACGGCGCAGTTTTTCTAATGCCGTTGTTGTTGGTTGTTCCGAAGTTCTGCGTTCTCTTTTAATCTGCATAAATATAAATTGTAAAATAATTAGAAAATATATATTGCACGTATGTGATTGAAGTATTTGGCTGAAGATTTACCTTGGCGGGAAGTCCATCTGTTTGAATTTGTTCAGTTTGCACGAGAACACACTTTGATCTCGGTTCTTGACAACTGGATGTAACCATATCTTCTTGAGAACCCTCTTTCTTTAAACCTTGTGGACATGTGCTCATTATACTTTCTCTCGCAGGCTCGTCTTCTGCTACAGGTAAACGAGGCACTTGTCTTTCTTCATTTTCTGCATTAGTTTTCACAGTATCTTCTTTATTATTCATTCCGTCATTCTGTATTTCAATATTACTTTCCGAACTCAAACGTTCGACCCTTACTCGCAAATCTTTAATCAGTTGCTTTGACAAAATCGAATCATGCGATGTGTTCCTCGAATTTGATGATTCCAATTTCCGTATTTTTGCAGGCGTAGAATCCTCTGTTATATTAGAGGTATCTTCTTTATTCTTCCCCAACTTTTGTAATAAGTGCTGGTGATGTTTCAGTTCTTCAAATGCCCTATTCCAAGCCGTTGATTTTTTTATCTACGAGAGATGACAAGATGAGTGCATATTCGAGAATAAATAATTACTAAATTTCAATGCTTTTATAACGGTGAGTGAGTACAGAGTAGTATAGATTTTTACTTGCAAACTTTGTAACGTGGAAGAGATCGATCGAATAAAAACTTTCTCAATATTAGCTCTCATATGATGACCTCCGAAAAAACGCACGTCATATACATTGCCATTAACTTGCATGACTTTCGCGGGCCAATATGGATAACCTTTTTGTTTCGCATAGACCAATTGATGAGGAGGATTACATGGTATACAAAACCACATTTTTTCAGACTTTTCGTTCGATATACGATAACAATCTGCACAACGACGTATTTCTTGAAGATCGTAACAACAATCCTGATACATCGTGCGTCCCATGTCTGCTATCACGCTAGTAGCTGCCGAAACGATAAGATAACGAGATATATATGATGTGTATGCTTGAAGAAAAATGAAGAGAAAGTTGAGTTATAAATCTTTTACCTCCGTGATATATCATAATATTATGTAGGATATTGTGTGCATCAGCTTCAAATTCAGCGAGATTGTTGTACTCATTATTGATCGTCTTGGCGTCCATTATCGCTAAATCCATATGACGTTTTATGAGAATTCCTGGCCTCCATGCATCCTCACCTTCGCTAACCCAGGTTGGTCCGGAAAAGCCGTTGGGTGGCGTAACGATTGGACCGTTGTTGAAAACAATAGTACGATTTGTAATTTCCGGTGGTAGTTTCGCTTTCAGATGACCACACGTAAAACTGAGGATGTGGTTGAGATCAGCCTTGTCGGTATATGTGTCGCTGTTTATTTTCTGCAATATAATTCATGTATTTCAACGAAATATCGTCAGCGAAATATACCGAATTGGAATCCTCGAAATTCTCACCTCACAGAAATTACAGATATTCAATTTTGTATTACTGGGTACGTGACATTCCGAATGGTAAACTCTGCAGCACTGTTCGCAGCATTCAACCGCACCCGCCCGTTGACATTTACAACAGTACCAATCGTGATTATCATTTTGCAATACGTCTATCGATGGAAATCTGTAACTCTCTTGCTCGACGCCGCTTTTCGTAGGCACTTTCTTTAACAAGACGAGACCGTCCTCAACTGCCTTGTTGAGCTCCTCTTGAGCCTGTTGTTCTGTAAAGCCGTAAACTCGAGCCATGTGCCGTACCATACGGTCATTACTAGGTAAGCTCCTTTGATGTACCGTGATTTTGATTGTGTCCCAGATTCGCTGAATCATAGACGGATCGCTTTTCCGACGTACAGACATGTTTGTAGCTAACTGTAACGAGAAACGATTTATGCGTCATATTCATATGTATGTATGCCGCTTCCCTCCTTAAATTTCAATATTCCCGTTATGCGAGTTACTCATCGATAAAAAATAAAATATTTAATCAGCAACTTGCTTATACAGTATCAGTAAAAATAATTTAATAAGAAAGAAAGAGATCAATTATGTAAAAAGTCATTTACATAAATATTCAAACTGATTATTATTCAAAACCAAACCAAACCAAAACCAATACATAAAATAAAATAGATAAGTTTAATGCAAAAAAAAAAAGAAAGAAAAAAGAAAAAAAAGTAACCATCACGTTTGATCTATGCAAAAATATTAGCTTCCATGAAATAATATATTAAAATAATATTCTATTTATTGTATTCTTAATTGCCATTGACTGATCGCGGATGTAATAAGATAACTTGAAAATTCATCATAGTAAAGAGTATAGATCACCGAACCGTCACCATAGTTAAATTGATAAATATATCCTCATAAGTTGCCAGTATAGTACAGTTAAAGCCAAACTACGTCAAGTACACAAACCGGGTACCCACATATGCTCCGATATGTAGTACCCATATAATTATAACAAATGCTTTTTTTCAGTCGGTTTCTATCGACCTCGAGGTATGGCAGTTTTCGGAATAATCATTACAAATAGTGTCAATAAGTCATAAACGGAACGACATTTTTAATCTGTCATTGCAATATGCATCCCGTAGTGCTAGATGCAACGAGTTACATCTTGTTACTGTCCAGTTTTATCACACTTGTGATTCTCTTATGGAAAGGATGCAAGCACAAAACGAAATCGTCATTTTACATTCTATCGGCGTCTGACATCCTGAGCGCTACATTGATGGCTGTTACACTCCTAGTTAATAATAATCATATCGAGGCTGGAATAAAGTTAACTTACAATTGGCAAAACAATACCAGCACGTCCACTCAGACGATCGAAAACGAAGACAATTATCGATTTCCATTCTTACAGACTTATAATCCACGCCAGGTTAATCTCGATGTAACTTTAAAATGCGGCATGAAGGACATATTTATGCAGTATGGGATGTTACTCGCCGCATCGACAAACGCGTTTATATCTTTACTGACCTTTACCATACAATGCAATCTCAATGCAGCATGTGTAAAGCAAAGATGCGCCGACGTAATGAAATCACCAACGAATAACACTCAACGTGAATCAGATGTCGAAGTAAAATCTCGGGGAAATGAAATATTCGAACAGAGAAACGAACAAGAAGCAGCATCTCAACAACGAAATGATATCAACGCGAAGATCAAAAGCAACGTTGTACACAGAATCATAAAGATCTCAAATCTTCGAATGCAGAAAAGAAATGCCGACAAAAGGCCGACTGGTTTTCTTGTCACGAGTCATTGGCTCGTACCATTTCTCGTTACAGGAATTTTATATTTCGCCGAATATAACGATATGGATAATGTACAACTCATGGAGGATACCAAATGTATATTTGAAAGTAATTTTCCAATGTATGACTTTGATACATTCTCGAACGTCAATGATAATTCGAAGATTATCAAGTTCTTTATACACATGACACCACTGGAACATAATTATTTTGTTAATGAGAAATTAAATAAGTCCCATAATAAGAAACCAAGCAACGCGGAAATAAATGAGATAGTATCTAAAGTTCAGAGTATCGTTAGGATTGTACTAAGTTACACTCGTAATTCTACAGAGAATACAGAAACCGCAAATTTTTCTGATACTCCTGAATCGCAAAATCTGACAAACTCTATCCTAATGAATAATATAGTGAAATATATAAGAAACATTACAAATATCGATAACACAACTGACAGATTAAACAGTACAGTACTAATAGATCAGGACGTTGACAATTCATCCACGAATAATATATATTTGAATCGAGATTTGGAGGTACTGTTATTCCATGATCCGCTAAAGAATATAGCGGAAGAATTGGATGTCACTACGTCTAAGAATCTAAGCAGCGTGTCGCGAGAGTCAGCTGAAAACAAGAATGACAGTTATCAAGACGGTCCGCAAGTATCCTCGAATATAGAAGAGAATATGACTCAGATGACCGTTAATGTTCCTCTCGTACAAAATATATCCATTTCCAATAACCAAATATACAACGAGATAATGAAACGCATTCAAGCTGCCAATGTGCACTCGACGGCGAAAAATCATCATAATCGTACAGCGAATCGATACAAGGATAGAAACCAGTTTGAGAGAAGCGATTCAAATAATTATACTGAGAATTATGCTGAAAAGAGAAAACCGAACGTAATCAAGGATTTATTTTCTAACAGGAACGATACTTTCAATCACTATTTTGACGCTGAGATCAGGCAGAGCGGTACGCTTCACGTGACTAATGAGTGCCTCGTTTCGATCAAGTTCTTAAAATTATATTTGCTTATATTATTCTTTGCGATATACTTCCTGCCGATTTTGTTTTCCTGTATTCTACAAATGCGAGGGAAGCATATATGTAAGAACATACTGGCGATATTAAGATCGAAAGCCGACTTTACTTTCATGGATAAAAGGATTCTTCAACAAGATTTAATAAACAAACCCAGCACGTCAAAGAAATTAAAAGATAATCATGACAAGATGAATGTAGATTTGGTAAAAAAAGGATCAGGAAAGTTATAGAGAGAACGAAAGTATAGTCTTAGAGATAGATTGTATGGTAAGAATATTCAATATTAGCAAGTTATCTTTGATTCTATGCATAATTCTCTGGACACCAGTATTCCTAGAGACTCTATTAAGAGTATTTTCGTGTACTCATGCACCTAAATGGTTAAGCGATTTAACATTCTTAAGCGGAGTTTCTTTCGGTATTGTAAGAAATGTCCTGAATATATATATAATAAAAATTCAAGAAACTTGTAGTGATGCTAGCATGAAAAAAAACAGAATACATCCGATTGAATAAATCATATTTAATATCTACTAAGTAAAATGTTAACAACTTGTTAATTTTACCAACAGATTGCAGTAGAATGTGACAAATTAATATCAATTTCAACTGCATTAAGTCCATATCTTGTTGACATCTAATCTGATTACTAACAAACAACTAGCAAACAAAATCTGTCATTCTATAATATTTTCTATAATATTTAATATTTAAATATTTATTTGGAATATATCGCTTAAATAGTTACGAAATGGCAGAGACTATTCAATTTCTAGACAATCTATATGAATACAATTACATTTGTCAGGAGTACAATAGAATCTATTACAGCTTCATTATCATTCTGTGTCAAGAAAATTTAAAAACCACTTTGCAAAATTTATTTTCAATCGATTTTGCTATTCAATATATTTCCTATATTGGAGATAGAAAGAGAATTGTCACTTCATATGTCAAAAGCAACATTTCTGTGCATATAAAGACATTAAGACTTACTTATGACTTAGAATTAAGAATTGAGACTTAATTAATCATTAAGATTATCCTTCATAATGAAAATATTTTTCGTGTCGGACGTAGCCCGTGTGCATATAATAAGTTAATTGCATTTTGCAATATTTATCTCCAGAAACGCATTATCAATAGATATTTTATATTTGTTACAATAAACACAAAATATACATGCCCGTATGTTATTGTATGAAGTAAGTATTCGTAAGAGTGCGCATATAGATAGACGGCCGCTTACTGTGCACTTATCACTTATCGTGAGTAAAGTCTCGGTCGCTATATAGATCGCGGACTGTAGACGACGATCGTCGAAAGAATCCGAAGAAATATCGCGGATGTTCCTTCGATCGGCCTTAGGCGGGTCTCGTGGTGTTATGGGGACAAACACGTCGGCCACAGGAACGAATTCCTCTGATCCTCGCTGTCGCTCGTGATAACGACCAGTAATGGATAACGAAGTACAACAATTAACATCGGAGACGCGGGTTACCGTGCATACGTCACAAGTCTGACTTAACCTCCTCGTTAGCGGGCTTAACAATGCGCGCGCAACTTATTATACATCGATAAGTTGAAGTTGTGCGCGTATCGCATAATGAAACCGAAACCGACACGCGCGCATCTTAGATTCGAATTCGTGCCGCAGAAATGTGCTCGTACCGATTTTTTAGAAATCGAGAGACTAATGAGTCGATCGTAAGCAGAATCGTAAAGCTCGTAACTTGTTCTCGTAAGACTCGTAAGAAGAACTTACGAGTGGAATTGTAATTCTATGCGTATCATAACATATACGATCGTTCGTAAATATCTGCTATTTCTCATAAATCTTACGACTAGCAAGAAGCTGTAACATTATTGTATAAAATTATAAGCATTAAAGTTCGTAAAATTAATAATTATTTTTCATTATTATTATATATAATGAACAATAACATATATAATACATATATAACATATATATATATATATACACACACACACACACACATCATACATATATACACACACACACATATATATATATATACACATACATATATATAATATATATATAATAAATATATATATATATATATATTAACATAAATTAAAAAGAATATAATAGATAATATAAGAAATATTATTTTAATTATTAATATTCTACATCATAATCTACTATTTTAGAAACTACATGCGTATAGTTAAGAAGTACTTATAAGAGATTTTTCGAATTCAATATACGTTATTTATAGTTAGTCATTTATTGTAACTATGGACATATAACGATGTATGGTATAGGTGCTAGTACAGAATAGCAGTTTACGTAAATCTGTAAAACTCAATTTCTTGCGATAGCTTCGTCAGATATAATTTTACGATTTTATGATTCATATATTTGTTTAGAATTGACACATTAGGGCCATATTCATAACTAGTCAGAATTATTCTTAAGATCACCTTAATAGCGTTTTTCACTGGCCAGAACTGAGTGCGTACTGAAAATTCGTCGAGTTCAGGCGGTCCGAGTATATTGAAACTGTGAGTTTCTTGCACTCCCAACTAAACACGTCTCGCTCTTCGTGCGTTTGAGGTATATCTGGTAAAAATTATTTGGATTAAAATAAATAATATCAAATTATTTCTATCTAATTAATTTGTAAGTTGTTGTTCTTGCAACGCGAAAATGACTTTTGAACTGTAACAATATATTATTATTATGTGTGTGTATATATATATATATATATATATATATATTATATATATTATT